TCCGTGCTTTGGAAGGCCCGTTAAGTCGTTGGTCTCGGTTGTATCTGCAGTCGTTAGCACCCACCAATCCGCACTGGGCCCGCGTGGTGGGTCATGACCCAATCTCCCTATTCCATCTACAGGGAAGGCCTGTGCCCCAGCAGTGGGGACATTAGGCTGATGATGAGGATGATAAAGTAACAAAAATACATTATTAAAAGAAGTCTTTCTAGGCTAGATTCCGAAGATACTGGCACAGTTCCCCCTTTGGATAGCTAGACTAATTCTTTGTCCGAGGTAGCTGCCAGCTCTTTGGTCGCCTGTGATGTCGATTAAATTTTTTGCTATATCCTTAAAAAGTCTTAAAGCGCTAGGAATAAATAATTAAATAATTATAAATAATTAATAGTCAGAAATCTCGAATTGGAGTGTCACCCTGAGGAAGTTACTTCCACCTTACAGAAGACCACAGTAAAATAACACTACCTTTAAGTGGAGTTGTGTTTCTGTCGGTGAGTAAGGTTCCAGCCCCCTAGTAAGGTTAGCATGAGTAACAAAACGCGATATGATAAAGCGATTTATCGACATTAACTGTCAAACTACAATCGAGTTTGACAGTTGAGTGTCGATAAATTGCTTTATCATATCGCGTTTTGTTACTCATGCTAGGGGGGCAGGACTCTACAGGGTAGGGGATTGGGTCAGGGTAGGCAATGATACGACTGATATATATGTATACTAGCTGACCCAGCAAACTTCGTACCGCCCTAAAAAAATAGGGGCTGTCCAGCGGACAAAATTGTGAATCTAAACCATTCTCAGATCCCCTTGAACACACACAAAAAATTTCATCAAAATCGGTCCAGTCGTTTAAGAGAAGTTCAGTGACATACACACTCACAGAAGAATTATATATATAAAGATAGTCGTGTGACGCTCGTGACACATTTCGTTTCATCTTTTTCAAACGAACGAACGAACAGGTAATATTACAGAAAAAGTTTTTTCTACTATAATTTACTTAACTTTCTGTTTATCGTTACGACGTAAAGACTGTGTGATTCCTTAGACCTTAGAGTAACCAAAAACTCATTATTTACATACATGATCCTTTTCATTTAAATTTACTGTTTATTTTTTAAAACATTTAGCCGTTAAATGCTTAACAAATATAACTATAGATATCTAAGACAATAGAACAAATAAAAAAAAACTAGGGTACAAATATCGCTCTATAATTTGCCATTACCCCAAAAGCTGCACGCAACATAACGTGACGATAATTCAGACGATTAGAAAAAAAAATACGTCAACGTCAACACAACTCGAACTCGATACTTTCTCGAATATAACGTTACAGGTCTGGGATTGAGTAATTTCGCCGTATCCTGCGACACATCTGTTACAAGGAGCTGAAGTGAAAAAAACACGTATCCGTTTGTCGACACATTCAATTAAAGAATAACGGACCAAAAAGTTAAAACAGTTCAGAATAAATAGGTATATAAGCATAACCTTTTTTTTTTGACTCAAAATTTGTTATGGATATTTTTTCATGCTATTTCTAACATTCGGATAGTAACTAAATAAATAATGACGCAGAATTGTTCAAAATTTAATGTAGCTGTAAATAAGTATATTTTACTACACAAGAGTTCCTTAGTAACACTTTCTTGAAAGAAATGGACATAATTACCTAATTGACTTAACTTGTATTTTAGCCTGTTATAGCACAATTTACTATTTATTTATTTTTAGTTTGACAAATAAATATAACTTAGTAATATTGACATAAACAAGTTTTGACTTTTATTTCTAACTACGACTTTTCTGATTGTAATTGCAATTTAATGATCTTGATTATAATGTTATTGGAACCTATTCATAATAAATATTGTATACCTTGTAATAGGGTCGAAATGTAGTGACACTCTATAAACTTTTTACCTAACACCAATTTGCTTTTCAAACCTACATTTCACAATAAAGCATTCGAATTTGGATTTAAAAATCTTTAAGTGAGGCAGATTCGCCTCAGCTCAGGATGACCTCAACTTAACAATAATAATGAGCACCGGTGACAGAACATTTATAAGATTTGGACTCTATCAGAACCCGCTAATGCAAACCTCACTGTCCAAAAATGTTATATAAATTTGTTTCTCCTACAAATCTAAGTTTTCACCGCCCGGGTAGCGGATTTTTTTCCTAGTGGAATGTTCTTTAGATTTATAAATCTAGCAGTTGAAAGCTTTAAATAACAATATATCTAATACATTTGTAGAGTCCATTAACCAAAATAGACTAATTCAGTTATTTTTTTACGTAGAAATCTGGAAAATAACCATAATAGGCGGTCCTATTGGTATTGTGTTTAACGAACACCGTGGCTGTGAAGTTTATACGCCGGGTTTCATGATGTCACCGACTCGAGAGGGTTCGAATCCCGGTGGGGGCAGATGTATGATGAATACGAGCATTTGTACTCCAGCCATGGATGTTTAATACGTATATCTATATAAATATACTTATACTCGTATATGTATTCTATCTGTTACCCTAGTATCCCATAGCACAAGTCTTACAGTTAAGGTATTTCGGGGCTGGGCTAATTGGCGTGAGTGTTGGAAATATTTATTTATTTATTAGCATTTACCGTGCTCTATATATGAATTGTGATAGAAGATCTAGAAATGACTGGTATCACAATGCGATACCTTAATAATGTCGATTCAAATCATCAACCGTGTTTGACCGTGACCAGAGTTGAGTGTGACCAGATTCAGTGTTTCAATACTTTTTCGGTCTAATTTTTAATAAAAATACTGAATATACCAACTTTCACAGGAGAATATACCTGTTTTTCTGTGCCAGTTGATATAATTCAGTATTTGATGAGGTGCTTTGGTTTTTTCGTAAAATTTATTCTGGTCACACTGACGCTGATTTACCTCCTCCCTTAGCCAAGGAAATTTTGAAACCTATTCGACCACATCAACACTAAGCCGCCTAAAAGTTAGTGCGAATTCACTATGGTTTTCTGTTAGGTCCTACCTTACACCAGACACTAGGCATTCGTAACTTTTAGTTTATTTTTAAATTTCACAAGCATATACTGCACTATGATCGAGGCGGCATAATACTTTACCATGCTTCTAGAGTAAAAAAATCATAATATGAAGGCAATTTGTTATTGGGGTGAGTATATTTTAAACCAAGATAAGAACCCCAAGGTTCTCTTTCAAGTTTTCCTCACATTTCCCACGCCACCTAGCGGCGAGTAGCGTGAGCGAGTTTACCCACCCTCCTCCCTGTCACCCACCATCCCTCTCAAAACACCCACACATCCCTACACACGAACGAGATAACCGTATATCGGTCATTATAGCCAGGCTTTCCACTCGTGAAAACGGACCACCCTTTAGTCGTCTCTATTTTCTCTATACACAAGTAGCGATTAGAAAAGGACGGATATATTATGGAAATCGTAGTGGATGGACACTCGATGACCACGAAGTTTCGTAAGTGTTTTTTTTTTCAGCCTATGGGGGATTGTTTGGACAAGGGTTGTTTATGCCCCTTTGGGGTTGGAGTAAAAAGTTTTTACATTTATTTTAAGAATGGTTTAAATTAATGTCTCAAAATTTCATTGATATTTGTTTTTATCGTTAATTTAAATAAGTATAGCTCCCGTAGTTGTCCATTCATTATAACCTCTTTTAACCAAAGAGTTCTTTGTATACATAATTAAGCACTTCTTTTGGTAAAGAAAAAAATAAATAATGAAAAACTGAAACTCAAATCATCAATCAATCGATAACAAAATCTCACTTCATCAACACGAGTTCCTATATTATGTACATTAAAACCTCCTTTGGTAAAAAAAAAGTAAGGAAAAAAAACTGAACCTCAAATGACCAATCAATCGAATTACAAATTCAATAATCGAACGCAAACTCGGCGGTGAAACAATTATGAAAAAGTTCTCTCCCCAGTTAAGTCTCGGCCGGGACTGACACTCATAAAACTTATTAAAGTCAAGGACCGGCGGAGATAAGTTCCTCTCGGCTTCTTAAGTAAAATAACGCCGAGGAAAAAATGCGCTCTCAAAGTTTTCAGTGAAAGTGAAATATCTAGTCGTTTTCGTAACGATTGCTACGTGTTGCGTTTTGCGATGCGGGCCTGTTTCGATTCTGCCGCTCTCGTGTTTATTTCTTGTTCATAGTTTATAGTAATTTTGTGTGTAAGTAAAAAACTTTTGAAAAATAAATTTACACCATTTTATACATTTCTATTATAAAAAAAAAACACATTAATATTACTTGAGAAAATACTCATATAAAACAGATATAAAAAAACAATACAAGATTCATTTATATTCATTTTACAAAACATTGGTCAAATAGTACTATTTTTACGCTACGAAAGCGCACTACGCTACACAACCGTAGTCAATGCTACGAGATTACAAAAGATAAAAAATTATAGTATTAAAAACCATGATCACTTTTATGTCAACCTTCTGTTTTCGAAGCTTCTTAAAACGCAAAATATGAGAGCGTCATATTTAAATACACTCCATTTAACAAAAACATACTAAAAGTAATGGGTATGCTGACGAAGTTCACAACATTCATGAAAAGAAATGAACTAACTCGTAAAAAGCTTTTCGCGAACTCAGGTATCTCATTTCAATAACAGGTTTCGTGAAACGTTAACTGACCGCGCTTTGATCCATTCAATTAAAAATTCCATCTCCTAATCGAGTCATGAAATATGCAAGCAAATATTATCCCTTTTCTTTTGTACGCGCTGCATATTCGCCCCACCCGCGCACGCACACCGACGCACGGCACTTATGATTTATGGCCGTCTCTGTCACACGTAGGCGGTGGATGCTGGAGGCAGCGTGGTGCGATCTCTGTCGACCTGCCGAAGCGGCAGCGACCGCGAGTAACCCCTGGCCACTTCGTGTGGACTCGCACGCGCCGACGTCGGCCGGCCGAGAGAGACAGCGAGACTCTGTGGACATGCGGAGGCCGCGGAGCCCTCGCGCGAAGGGACACAGGCAGGACAGACGCTCTCGGACATCGGGCGAGAGCGGGCGGCCGGCGCACCTGCCTCGCACCGACCACGCGCGCGATCTTACCGATACATCGTAAACACAAAACATTTTCGAAACGCTAAGAAAATTTTCTCGCTAAATCCCGCCACCGTCGCAAAGAAAACACAAGTTACAATAAATTTTAAGACAGTTCCAGTTATTATAAAAAACGGACAGTGTATTATTTAATTTTATGAAAAGGACTGAAAAGTGAACAAGTTTTACTGATAAATCGTATTGGAATTAAACTCAGTGATCAATTCGTTTGCCGAATCTGAAGATCGCCAATTGGTGCGGTTAGATTAGATACGGCTCTGAGACGCACGTTCGAGTGTTGATAAGGCCCTATGACGAGAAAATTTTGGTCATCAAGAATTTATGTGAATAATGACTTGATTATAAACATCATGAAAAGGAAAAAGTAACTTGAAAATGTATTGAATTTTAAGTTAATAACCATGAAAAAAATACGAAGATGACTAAAAATGTTGGAACATTTGCCGTCGGAAATTGTGATGACTCTTAACCTGTTATCAGAAACGTTTTAAGCATCCGATAAAGCCGCTGGACCGTCGGCGGTCCGTGTGAAGTGAGCTAAAAACTGTCGCCTGATAGTAAAATATTAAGATAAACATTTCATAGGATAAAGAAGTTGTTCAAGTTCTAAAAATAGGTGACCAAATCAAGATGAGAATCAAGATGCCAGCTGTACGCATCGCGCAAGGTAAGTTGATTTACATTACAGTTAAAATAATTTTAGTTTGTTACTAAAACAATTGGATGGCTTAAATTTTTTTACATTATCATAAAAATACATATTTCATCCAGTACAATAATAGTTTTGAACACACATTATTATTATTCGTGTTAATTTTCAATTAGTCAACAGCAAATCCCAAAAATCGTTTAGAGCAAAAAAGAGTCAATCAAACATAGAAATCAGAAATAAAATTATCAACCTTTTTTTAAACAACAATCTAAAATAATAAAAAAAAAACAAAATGTTTTGCAAAATCACACATGCCACTACTCTACATCTCATTTGCTATGCCGAGACTATCCAGTAGTGGAACGAGCTACTTAATGCCCGGCCGTGAGGGTAAACATTGACACAAGCCTGGTCATCCTAACCGAAAGGGATGCACGTCTAAAGACACCCTAACTAGCCCCATTCAAATATTCACGACGCTGCCAGCTGATTGCAGTGCCGCTATTAACACAAAAACCGACATAGATAGAAAATGAAAAAAATCAAATAGCTAAAACATTACTCGCTAATCACGAAAACAATTAAATTGTCAGCACTAATAACAAAATGACCAATACAGAAGAGGCTGTAAAAATATTAAATGACAAAAACGTGATCACTTATATTGTCTTCGTTGATTATTAAGCAGTTATTCAGGCCAACAATATTAACGAAGGTATTTCACTGACCAACATAATTGGTAAGAAGCTTTTTAATCTTCCGTGCAGATTAAAATTTTACAATGTAAGGAGATTGACATGGCTTATAACTATATTAAACTGCATCGGCTTTGTAATCTAACGTCATAAACGCAACATTGTTAGTTTATTAATTAAAGAGAATTTATTTTCTTGAATATTAAATAAATCCTTTAGCAATGAACAGTGTCTTGAATTAACCATCAAACATCAGGTGTATTGTAGATTAACATTTTTAGATTAAAATTTATAATATCTAATTTGATTCTTTTAGGCTTTCACAAAAATTTATAAAAACAAGCCTCAATAATTTAGCTTTTTGTTATTCTTAGTTACACTCAAGATACTATACATTATTTAACATTAGAAACTGTTTTTTTTTCTTTTTCACGCTTCAAACCATTGTTACTCTGCTTCAATTCCCACTAGCCAACAGTTAGCTAAATTAATTACTCATTATAATCTAAGAGCAATGCTAAAATTTTCCCATGCTTTACTATAGCTTTAGTAGAATGGTCAAAAATATGATTTGCAAATTATTGTGGACTGTTTGCTTGAGAAAGTATTTTTATTGTTGTAATTAAAAAGTCACTTTCAAACGTCTACTGGGCAACATCCTGTTCCAATTCTCTGTTAGTTTTAGTTTACATCAAACCAAATGTTGCAACAACTTTAAAATTAATTTATATGTATTAACTTAAGTATTAATAAATTATAAGTTTTAATTTTGCACGTTGCACGTATGAAATGTTGTAAACCGTGAAGCTTGTCATGTGTATGCGTGTGAGTCAACTCACGCGCACGGTTTCTTCTCAAAACTAGCATTGTAGCACACATGGGCAATTAGTCCAAGTTGACCGGAGGCGATGGGCCTTTCTGATTGGATGGTGGCACGGTGACGTCACAAATGTCTGGGGCCGTTGCGCCCGATTGGTCGACACGCGTCATTTCATCGATGACACGTTTGTTCTTATTTTGTATGTAAGAAGTTCGAGGCACTCGGTTTTTGTCGGCGACACAATGCGACCCCCCCTTTGTACATGAAACTGGATGCCTTTATGTGGACGACGTAGTATAAATAAAAATACAAAAGGCCATAATTACAATACTAAAACTAACGCATGAAACCATTGAGTATAAATATTCGGTTAATAACTTAGCTAAGCGTCCAATCACAAGGCGTTTGAAATTAAATATGAACGCTCACTCAAACTTACTAATGCGACCCCAATTACGTTTAAAGGCAGAAAAACCTTTTGACTTTTTTAAACCCTCCTCAAAAGTGAGAATTAGGGAATCGTAAAATTACTTTATCAGGTGGGAGGCGAGACTGCCGCTGAAGTAACTTTTGAACAAACTTTTAAAAATCTAAGTTAACTTCCCTCAGTCCCGGTTACGGACCTAAATAAAACATCAGCGGACGTGATGTTTGTTTTGTTCAGAAATGTTTGTCACTAATTGATACGGGTTCTCGTGTCTTTTGATTTTTAATGGATAATGTAACAGTTTTGTTAACACATTCGAATTGCTCTGACGCATTATGCTTATCCCATATCAAAGTCAATTACAGATGTTTCTAATTGTTTGCTTCAAACAATTTATTACACTCTTTAGAAAATATTAAAATTTTATCGTCGTAAAAGGTTTTTTATAACGATCTTAGCTTTTTCTCCTACCTTACAGAAACGAGCGGATGCCACATAAAAGAGCCGCACGTCAGTTTAAACATTGCCTATGTCTTCTTGTCTTTTGCCGCGTAGCGATTCAATATGTCTTCATTAAGTGAATATCGAAGCATCGCATTTACAAGCGGAACCTTCAATCTTGATCCCTGGCCAAGAATTATTGCTGCAATGTCGATCAAGATACTCTCTGATGGTCGCCATCGTTGCTCTTAGGCACATGTTAATGTTCATAAGACTAATATGTTAATCTGATTTGAAAATATTCCAGTATAAAAGAAGTTAATTATTCAACATCAAATATTTGTAAAAAAATCTCTTTATTACGTAAAAAAAATACAAATAATTGTGGGAAATGTAGCTTCAAGAAAAATGCAAATACCGTCTCAATGATCAATCATCGCGATAAAGTAGCGAAGTCTGAGATGAAATGTGTTCCCACAATTGACAAACTCATTTTAAATGTGATAATTGGACAGCAAAACCAAACGAAGCACGCCAATAGATTATCACCTATTTTAATATCACGCACTTCATAATTGCAGCGCTTTACGCATTTGCAGCCGTGAGAATAATGCGAGGAATCGGTCTTGTTGTACTTATGAGCTTGAATACAAATAAATTTGATTCGGCAAGAGAAATAAATTTCTCGATTGACAGTCCTCGTCCAGTTGATGCCAAAAAAGAAGAGGATGGAATCGGATAATTTATTTGGGTATCGGCAGTTGATATTTAAATTATGGGAATAAAGGTAATTTTCTTATTTAGAATAATGATCGTGCGGACCGCGGCCACCCGTTTGTAGCCAGGCTGGACCGGATCCACTTCTCTTTTTACGCGATCGCTCCGATCGGCATTTTGTAGTAGTGATTCTTAAGATAAAGACGTATGGATTTACATATGTTATGTCAGCAGAGGTCCGGACAACATTTAAATTGGATTTATTAGTCCGGCCCTATTAAGAAGTACAAAGCGACGTTGGAGGCACCGTTGAATACGAAGCAAATTAATGCCAAAAACGAAAGCGATTGAAACATCGACGTATGGAACAATAAATATACTTTTGAATTTCTCTGAATCCAAAATGATCCCTAAACGACTCGTTGTTGAAGAAAAAAAAATAAACTGAACAAACAATCCTTCCACCAACAAAAGGATTAAATACAACCAACAATGCAAATCGTATTACAAACAATGAAAACAGTAGCAAACATTTGATGTTTTTTTTGTGTTCAAGTTGGAACATAATCTTGAACTGTTAGATGAGTTCGAATGATAATTTAACAGTTCGTATTAGCTTATCTTGAATTGGTAATCTCATTGTCCGCTTTAGAGGGTAAAGATCGTGTCCGATTGAATTCAATTATCTGTGTTCTTTTTTTAATCGTCTTAATATTGTGATATTATTACGATTTCATAATAGGAGCAGGATTCGGTAAGCACACCTATTCTCATCACTAAATCATTCTGTTTAAAGCAAAGCTTTGACCAATGTCCGACCATTAAACTCCATTAGTAATCCTAGTAAAATAAATACTCTACCTCAATACAATGGAATAAAAAACGTTCATAACATGAATTAATTTATTGTTAGCAGACCACGATCAATAGCCGAGGAGTGGGAGGACAGTTTCTGAAGAGTCCATCTTTGTCAGGCTTTGATACCAATTTGTTATTGTCGGCCTTTCAACGCTCAAGACGATTTAAGTTCGAAAGATGTAGCCTTGACTCTCTCAAGATTTGAGATCTCAATATAAGAAAGACAAATAAATAAATAAAATTTTACAACTTTTAATAATGTGTAAATATCCTATAAATAAAGAAACGCATATCATTAAAACTGATCTATCAAAAATCGTGCAGAACAGATATGACAATGGTTTCTGATTTCGATAGAGGCACCTGAATCTTCAATATTTTCCCATGGTCAAACTCCGATAAACACCTTGACAAAAAATCATTCCACCCTGCCTTTGACAAACAATTGGTCAAAAGGATTTTTTTGGGGCCAAACAGACTCAGAAGTCCGCACCCATATGAGTAGAATTGTCGATAATATTGTAACAATGCCCATTGGGATACGCATTCGAATTCTTCTGTAGGCAAAATAAGTATTGTGTATCATTTTCGATGTCCTTTCATCAATTTTAACAGAAAAGGGTTTACAAGTGTCACTTTCTTCTATTGTAGGTTTTTTTATATTAAACTTGCTTCTGTCTGTTGTAAAAGTGTAGCGGAGACAGATGAAATGAATTCTGAGATAGATAAAATGTGCTTGAAGTTACTACATTAATTGCTAACATTTTTATCGCACTTAAAAAAGTTGATTGAAGGGAAAATTGCTACGTATCAAGTTCTACCTGAGCATTATACCGTCTATTCATCTCAAAAATGTCTGATGTTTCTTCCATGACCATTGTCCAAAGGCTTTTGATTCGCCGTGAGTTCCTTTAAAATTTTCGAATTAATTTTTTTTCCTTTACTTTTTTCGTCGACATAAGGCATACATGTCAAACCGAACAACGCAGCCTTTAATAGATTGTATTGTGTTGGCTTGCCCACATCCATTTTAAGGATTTTTAAAGAAACCTCTTTT